CACACACACACACACACACACACACACACACACACACACACACACACTCTATGGCACATGTGCTCTTGTAGTCACACATCATACACACAAATATCTACCAGACAACTGTCATTGCAACGTTTGTAAGGGTCAAGGTAATTATTGTCCAAATGTCCAAAGAAAGGCCGTGGGCTAAGGTGTGATTTCACCGTACAGTCATCTACTGTTTAGCTGTTAAACCCGATGTGGAAAAGTGTTCGCCCTGTATTATATCTGTTAACTGGAAAAGCTCATTGGTTCCCTCCTCTGCAGGCCTCTGCTTTGTGGATCTTTGAGGTGAGGTCTCACTGTGTAGCTCAGGGCACAGGATACACCATGAAAAAAAGTCCTCCCCCCAAGAAAACCTCAACCAATCAAACAAACAAGTAAAAAAAAAAATCCATCAGGATGCTGCTCCCTTGGCCAATGTATTCAGTAAGCAGATACAGACAGTGAACAGCAGAGATGCCAACCAGGTAATTATGCAGCATGTCCAGTGAAGGGTGCAGTGGGAGAGAGAGCATCATGAGGGAATTGGAAGTGAGGATTAGCTGAGTATTTACAGTGACACAACCGATTTAGGTTTATTTATTTATCTTAGGTTTGTTTTTGAGACAGCGTCTTAGTATGTAGCCCTGGCTGCCTTGGAACTCAGAGGTCTGTCTGCCTCTGTCTCTGGAGTGCATGTGCCAGGATTAAAGGGTGGGCCCTGTGTGAGTTAGGTGATAAAAGGATTATGGGGGAGGTGGATGGGAATGTGGGTGAGCTGTTAGGGTGTTTGTGTAGTATGCCTTAAGCTCTGGGATTGATCCCTAGTACTGTGTAAACTGGGCAGGTGGTACAGCACTCAGGAGGGTTAGAAGTTCAGGGATATCCTCTGCTATATATAGTTTGAAGCCAGCCTAGTCTACATGAGACCTTGTTTAAAAAAAATCAATAAGTACAAAATAAAGCGTGCTTATCATGGTTCCCATGGGAAGAATGGACTAAAGGGCACAAGCAGAAACTGGAGGGCTTTCCACAAGTTAAGGAAAGAGGCCATCATGCTCTTCAGACTAGCATGGTGGCAGTGATGGAAATAGAGAGCAGTGATTAGACTGTGGGTAACGTTGATGAGAATGGTTTCCCAAGAGGCTGGGTGGAGGTAGGCAGGATGGCTACAGGGACCCACATGTCTGAGGGAGGAAGGCTCCTTGGATTGAGGGCTTATGGTAAATTTATAATGTGTCCAGCCCCGTATGTCTTCCTCTTTATAAAGGGGGCTTTGTTTTCTCTCACTTGAGTATGTGTTGGACTTAACTACTCACTTCTGATGATTAGCTTTTGGCTGATGTGATGATTTAGACCATATGAGGCTCTGTGCCCTCCTCTTTGCTACCTCATTTGGGATTGCTAACGTGAAGGAAAGCTAGCTGCCATGGTGGGAGGACAGTCAGGCAGGCAGCCCAAAGGCAACATTCATGGGGCCTTTGTCAGAGGCCTCCTCACTGAAACCATAGAGTTTTTTTTTTTTTTTCTTTTTAAAAAATAAAGTAAAAAATAATTGGTACCAATAGATGTGATCGCTGAAAGCCTTGACTTAAGAGGTGATTTGTCAGATGAGTGAGGTCGCGTGGGTCTGGAGAGGACGATGAGGAGTTTGGTTTAGGGCTTGTTCATGTAGAGAGTTACTAGAAGGTGAAGTCTAGGGAGCAGAGTCTGGAAATTGTCAGCATATAGGTAGGCCTGAAGCTGTGGAGGGGGCAGGGAAGGGAAGAGGGGGCAAGGGAGTCTGGGAGGGAGAAAACAAGAGAATGGATACAAAATTATTCCAAATTATTATAGTGGTAGTTTCAGGATGGTGAGCTAATTATCTTTTAGAGAGTGCTGTTGCATTGTTAGCCACAGGCTTTTTTATTTTCTACAGTGGCGGAGAGTTACATAATGTAGAGGGCGTTTTTGCATTGGGCAACTGTGGAGAGACAGCTGGAGACAGAGGATGAGCTTCTTAGCTCAAAGGCTGGGCCTTATTTCACAAGCCATGGGGTTTCCAGACCGTCTCTTACATACTCTTCGTCCAACCACAGGAATAAAGTAGTCTTATTCCATGATCAAGATAGTGGTTCACAGGGTTGGGTGGCAGCATTGTGCTGTTTTTCATTAAAGATATGATTTGACCTTATCTTCTCATCGCCAAGATAGAAGCAGTTTCTTACTTTGCGGGAACAAGAAGAGGAATATGGCATTCACTTAATGTTTTAAATACTTTCACTGAGAAGGATACAGGAGATTCTGTGGTTCATCTCCTCCCTGTCGGCTTGTTCCCACGTTGGTGTGTTTTCTTCTCTTCATTTCCACTTTTTAAATGGTGGAGTGTGGTATGAGTATGCTGTCCCTCTCCTGACTTGTCTTTGACTGCCCTTGTTTGCCAGAGACTTTGTAACGACAATGTGAAGCCAGGATTGTATCTTATAGCGTGGGCATGCCTTAGTGAGCATAGTAAGTTGCTTATTTCTGGGTACCTCGCAGGTTTTAAGAAGTTATGATTCAGCAAACATCTTTATTAGTAGCTTGCCAGAAGTAGAATTACTGGGTGACAGTAATGAGCACTGTGAGGCTTTAGGAGGTATTGCTAAGTTTGTCAGTCTTTAGCTACAACTGGAGCTTAAGCTGATTTTAGGGCAGGCAGTTGAGGCTGAAACAAGAGTTGGGGGCTATAGGAGAACATTTGGGTTCTGCCTAATTTGAGTCTCAGTGTGTGCTTATGTATTTTCTTTTATTTTCCTTTTTAAAAAATATATGTATATTTTGTTATTATTATTATTATTATTTTTACAATTTATTCACTTTTAATCTCGATTTTAGTCTCCTCTCTCAGTCCCAATCTTTCTCCCTCTTCTTTCCCACTCTCCACCCCTTGTCCCCTGGAAGGGGAAGTTCTCCTCCCCTACTATCTGACGCTGGCCTAACATATCTCATCAGGCATGCCTGGATCCTCTTCCTCTGTGGATTGGCAAGGTCACCCCACCAGGGGGAAGTATGATACATTTTCTATCTAGGGTGTAGAATATTTAATCAAATGAGTGTTCTTGTTCTTTTATAAGTTATCCACTTATAAATGGAAATAACTGTGCCCTAGTAGTTTGAAATCCACTGCTTATTAGTATTTTATCAGGCATTATTAATTTTATTTGTTTACCACAGCTTTTGTTAGAACTGTGTAATTTACTGCTTGGCTAAAACTCACCAAATAACAGACTGTGTAAACTACAAAGGCTCGTATAACTTTTAATTACTTGATATAGAGTATTCAGATGTCATTTCGTGTGTTCGTAACTCTGTTAAATCTTTCACCATGTTGTGTCTTTAGGTATCATC